TTCCGGATGTTGAGGAGTTAAACCGTCAATTCGCAAATGCTACAGTGTAGAAATCAACACCATCTTTATTTACATCTACTGGGGAGAACCAATCTGTCACCCCTGTGGAAGTCCTGAATGTACTTAAGTCCCTTAAATCTTACAAGGCATATGGCCCTGATTCGTTGTCCCCCTTCCTACTGAAAGAGTGTGCTTCACCTGTTTCTGAGTTGCTCAATTTGTGTATATCATCGGGTAGCATCCCTGATTGTTGGAGAGCTGCTCGGATAACCCCAATTCCCCAAAAGGGATCTTCCAAATATCGACGATTGCCTGCACATCAGCATTATTGAAAGCTTTTGAAAGAGTCCTTCTTAACAGGCTGACCCTTTTATCTGTCACTCATGACCCTATTCAGTTTGCTTACAAACATTCGCTTTCCACTTGATGCTGTTGCTCACTTTGTTCATTACGTTTCATCCTTATTGGATAAAGGGGCTGGCATCGTTCGTTTAACTTTTTTAGATTACGCAAATGCTTTCGGATCACTTGACCGCGGCATTCTCATTCAATGTCTTTCGGACTGTGGTCTGACACCTAATTTACTGAATGTACTAATGAATTACTTCACTCATCGGATGCAATACACTTTTTTGACGGTAAATCGTTCTCCCTTCTAGAAGTTAACTCTGGAGTTTTTCAGGGTGCAATTTTGTCTCCATTTCTTTTTTCACTGTACATTAAGGACCGTTCCCATCCTTCCCAACTTCATCGCCTGCAAGTATGCTGATGATGTGGTGGTCGGCTGTCCTTCAACTGTCCCGATTGTTTCTGTCAACTTCAAGTTTGTCTCAATAACATTTTTAGTTGGTCAACTCCCCGATCTATAATGCTAAATGTAGATAAATGTGTGGATGTTTCGTCTAGCCTTAAAACAGACATGTCTTATCAAACCCTTTTGAATAATCAGCCTGAACTTTCCGTTAATGGTAATACCATCCCCAAAGCTAACTCTGTGAAATATCTTGGAGTTAATTTGTCACACAGTCTTACTTGATGCAAAATTGTTGAAAACATTTGTATTCGGGTTCGTAGACTATCCTGCTACGTTTCAGGCTTAATAAGCTCAGCGTTCCCTTAAACGTAATTCGTAAATTGGTGACTGCATCCATTCCTCCCCATTGGTTGTACTGTTCCCCCGGTATATTTTCCTGGTCTAAAGGAGAAAGACTTTATTCACTTTTCCAGATCTCTTAAACTTCTTTCTCGTTGCAGCGGCATTTCAAAGGGCGTTTTGGTTGACTTTATTGTGAGCAAGCATTTTGACTCATGCGATCGATTTATCAGCCATATCCTGTCCAACGAGGAACACTGCCTGCACTCCATCTCAATAAATCGGTCTCTCATCCGAGTGCCCGTTACCAACTTCGGATTATTTATACACGCACCTCTACACATAAAAACATCATGATCCCTTATTTTGCTCGCATCTTGATCAACCGAGCAAATATTATTGCTGACTTGAACAATCATCTCTCACATTAGGATTTTACGTAAACCCATCTGTTTGTCAGTTAGTAAATGTATATTTCTTCTTTTTCCAATGATTAACGCTTTTTCCCTACTGTAACATGTCGAAAATGCTGAAAATTCATCCTATCGGGTGCATAAAGCTTCACTTGACTTGGCTTGACTTGACTTGAAATAGCAAAGCGTTTCGATGAAAATTCACTTCTACGAATGTTCGGTAGAAATCTAAGGATGCTTGAGGCATTATCGATCGCTCAGAAATCTTTATTTCGTCCACTGTGCGATCAGTGGTTACACTTTTATAAAAAGATCAAAGGAAGATTACCGTCTTAGAGGTATTTCCAACTAATATACCAAAGTCATCCTTGAAATTAAGGTCATTTTTGAGGTGGTTGCGTTTGACGATTGGTAATTTTATAGGGAAGCAAAAATCTAGTTAAATCAAAAATCTGACGGTTCTTCAGTATGGGAACAGCAGCCCTGTTGTAAAGGCACACAACGTTAAACTGTTCATATTAGATATTCCTCAGTACCGAGAAACTCATAGATAATCATCAACAAGATTACGTTTTGCATATAGAAAGGTGTCCAGTTCAACTCGGCAAAACTAGTTTGTTCAGATTACCTTTAGAAAACTGTGCTGAAAATCTGCATCCATCGGGAGGTTGCCCAAGTTTTCCTCACTCCTCTATCCAAACAAGAATAAACACATTTTGAATCCGTTGGTTGATTGCCCGTTTCGAAAGTATAACAAAAGCGAACACTTGTTGATTTTGTCACTCAGTGAAAGCCAATCACGTGAATTATTGTTCGTTCATTAATAAGAATGTGATTTGATTGCTTCATTACTTACACGGTGGCTTGCCGGAATTGACCGCTCGGATCATGTTTGACTAGACTTGTAGTTTGATAACAAAAAACACGGTTCACTTCAAATCATCTTAATTTAACAAATGCATCTTTTAAAGTTGTTCGACATTGATGAGCTCTGATTTCTATGCTGAGTTGAACCTCCAACTTGACCTCCCTGAGCAATTTATGTTTGCATGAGCAGGTGTGATATAGGGGTTGAATCAATGTTAAAAATTATAGTAAATATGATGTAACAAGAGCAGCTGAAATCAAACCACAAACAAGCACTTTAAGTCGAGTCGATGTAACAGCACAGAAACCGAATGGGCCAGGGGTGTTGTCAGTATTAAAAATGGTCTCCCTCTTGTTCCCAGGTTGAACACTGTAAATACGGAAGAGGAGCAAAGAAGAGAGTGGCGAGGGACATAAGAGAACCTATAAACCACAAGAATCTTGAGTTCTCCTTACTCGATATGTCCTGTGCTTTACTATCGCCACATATTGGTTGCTATAATAATTTCTCGTGTTTGACAAACATGTTTGTCCTTCGTATGCGTCATTGATGACGAGAGGTGCGATCAACTGTCGGCAGTAAACAAACATCCATTACCGTCATTTCGTAGTGCGCTACCGTGGATCCTCATGCGTTCCACTTGTTTTCTGCACCCTCGTCATAACAACTGATAGGGCTATTCACCATATGTGATTATGCAGTTAAGTGGCTATCCGACACTTCACATTCGCAAACNTTCACATTCGCAAACGATATCAAACAAAAAGCAAACCCCGACTTTTCTAAAAAGGAATTTAGTACAGCCACCCCTTTCCTTGGCAAACTGAAATGCAATAGAAGTTTGT